CAGATCTGGAAAGACGTCAAGAAACATCGGGTGTTGGTTGCAAGCCAGGATCATCCCAAACTGGGCAACACTATGGCTTCCCCTTTCGAAGCTGTCCCAAAACTTCTACCAGACCGCTCAGTGTCGAACGAGGTGAGGGTGGTGCATGACCAGCGACCTGTCAACCAGGGCACACACAAGGACTTCCACCCGCCGGCGCTGCAGCCCACACATGACCAGATTGCTAGAAGGGTCCTGTTCTTGAAGCATCGCTACCCGGGATGCCAGGTCCACATCGCCAAGAAGGACATCTCTGGGGCTTTCCGCTTGCTTTGGGTGGCTCCCGCGGATGTGGAGCTCTTCGCGGGTGACCTCCCTTGGAAGGATGCAGCAATGCCGGATGAGGAGGGCTACAGCGGGGAGGTTCGTGGACGCCCACTCACCGTGCTCTACCTCGTGTCCTCTTTTGGTTTCTCAGGCTCTCCAGGGGAATGGACTCCGTGGGGAAGAGCAACGGAGGAATTCCATAGAGCGCATCGACCTGGACTACCTCGCAGAGACGGAGCATTGGGTTTTGACTGCAAGATCCTGGTCGACGATGCGGTGTTGGTTGAACCACTCTTGGGCTTGAGACCTTGGGTCTCAGCTGCATGTTATGAGACAGGCGTCAAACAGATGCTGGGAAAGGAGGCTGTGAACCGGGAGAAGGACGCCATCGAGGGACAGTTCAAGGAGGAGCAGGTGATCTGGGGACTGACTATGAACGCGGCTTCGGAGAAAGCTTTCTTGCCAGAGCGGAGGATCCTCAGAGGGTCGTATCTGTTGGGGGACAGTGCCTTCGACGCGGGGGAGAAGTGTGTGACGGTCCGCCAGGTTCAGCAGTTCAGGGGCATCACGACTGGTTGGGCGATTGTGGTGAGGGGCCTGGCGAATGAGCTCAAGGCGGCGACATTTTTCTCTCCAACGATGAAGGGGGTCTTCCAGCTCGGCCTCGAAAACTGGGCTACAAGAACGAACGCTTGGAGGTGGAGGATGCCTGGGAAGACCTTTGGAGCCTGTTTGAGGTTTGCAGATGGCTGTGCGCCAGGTCCGACAGGTGGGAGACGCGTTTTGGCACCACCTTGAAGGAGCTCCTCCCTGTGAAGGAACGATTGAGCCTCCCGAATGAGTGGAAGGAAACTGTTTGGGTATCCTCAGATGCTACTACTCAGGTGATTGGGGCCATCGACTGGACCTTTGGGGCAGCCGCTAGAGCAACAGTCACGGAGCTAGAGCCATGGCTGATGGGGGTAGCAGAACAAGAGATGCAGGAGGACGGTGACATGAGGGTTCACATCTCGGAGATGCTTTCGCTGGTGGCCTTTGTGTGTGAGCGTGGGCCTCTTTGGAAGGGGAAGGTGGTGCTCTACGCCGGGGACAACTCCACGGTTAGGCAGTGGGTCTGCAAACGTCAGAGTGGGTCACGGGCGGGCCGACTACTAGTCCGAGTCCTGAACCTTTGCGAGATGAACTACGGGTTCACCTTGGTGGGGGGGGTGGTGGAGGACTTTCCACAACGTCGACTCCGATTACATCACCAGGTGCAATACGCAAGAGTTCGAGGAGATGCTCGTGAAGAAGGGTTGGGAGAAGGTCGAGCTGGGCCCGGCGATCTCCAAGGCCATTGAGGACACTGCACGGTTTGGACCCTGCTTCCTGTCCTGGCAGGACCCGGAGGACCGACAGGTGATGCTGCAGCTGAAGGAGAAGAGGCTCAAGCGTTTTGTCGACAAGCCCTTGGGCATCCCCTGGGACAAACTCAGAGTTATTGAGCTGGCCAGTGATGACCGATGGCTGAAAGACTTTGAGAGTTTGGCCCCTGACGGACATTCCAAGACCGGAAGGACCCGAGTCGTCATCGTCGCCACCTTGCCGGTCGATGAGAAAGGGATCCTGGTGGACAAGTTCATCAAGGAGGTCTCTCGGTTGCGACCCTACGTGGCGATCTGGGAGGGGCCAAGGTGCGCCCCCTGGGAGAAGGCACTTGAAGGGTTCCGAGCCAACGGTTTGGGTGGCGTGACGTTTGAGTTCGTATCCACAGAACTGGGGGAGTACCTCGCACGCCGAAGGCAATGCCTGGTAGGGGCGCGCTTCGACCTGACGGAGGACATCGTGAAGAGGTGTTTGGTGAAGACAGTGACTGCTCCGCCTTTGGGGGGCAGCCGTGGGGAGAGCCAATCAGAGCGAGGACTTGGTTTGGAGAAAGCCTTTCAAGATGGTCATCGAGCCGGGCATCCCACGGGCGCCGTTGCTGCCGCAGGTGGTGGGTCATGTTTGGGAGTCACCTGAAGGTGAACGAAAGAACGTGCATGGGCTGGCAGGTCCAGGGCGCTGGCCGCTGAGGTACAACGACGGGGAGTTCGAGCTGCTGGAGGTCTTTGATCGTCGAGGGCGACCGGGCCATCTTCGAGTACTTCAACCACTTGAGGTTTGGCAATGTCAGGGGAGATCCTGTGAAGCGTGGGACGAGCTCCTTCACCAGGGGAAAACGGTGAAGGAGATAGCGAACCAGGGCAACAGGGCGACGGGGCTTCAGGTGGCATCTAACCTCCTGGTGATGGCTGGAGCTCTGGTCGAGTTCGGGGAGATCCTCGAAGATGATCGCAATGCAGGGGCATTGGGCTATGAGCCGTATGATTTGTCCATGGCCAAACTTCTGGCATGGCTGCGAAAGTGGAAATGGCGCCATTTTGGTGCAGGTGATCTTCACGGAGGTGATGGGCGCGCCGGAGGGGACATCCACAAACGCATGGTTTCGAGAGCGGGGGAGGCTTTATGGGTTTGGTGCCTTGAGATTGAGTCCGAGGAGAACCGCGACGAGAACGAGACCGTGGAGACCTTCAGGGACACCTCAGCGGGGGGAGACGACCCAAGCTGACGAAGCCGGCCCATCTACCTGCCGGGCAACATGTGTTGCTAGAGCCAAGGAAGGTGCCTTTTGATGGGGCAATCCAAACACAGGTGGAGGAGTGGCTCGAAGAGAACATTGCAGGCAGCAAAGCTACGAGTACCCTGAGAATGTACCGGTCGGCATGGGAAAAATGGGAGGCCTGGGCAACCCGCCAAAGATGGCCTTCATGCTACCTCGACGTGAAGGGCGACAAGCTCGCGAATGAGGACAAGCTCCTGGCGTTCCTCGGCTACTTGGGCTGGCTTGGTTCCACGGCGGCCTCCATCAAGCAGGCTTTGTTCGCGGTGAAGGACGGTCACAAGCGTGGAGGAGCAGGCGACCCGACCGAAGGCATGTTCAGGGTGTGGATGCTGGTCACGTCACTAGATCGACATGCTGAACGAAAGCCAAGGAGACTGGGGGTGACACCAGGCATGCTGTTGTGGATTGGCAGGAGCCTGTGCAACAGCGACTTGTTCGGAGAGGACCAGGTTGACAAGGCAATGGTGCAGGCCGCGCTTTTGGTGGCTTGGTTCTTTATGCTCCGAGCCAAGGAGTACTGTGACTCAGGGGGAGTGGATGCGCACATGATCCTCCGAGGCATGGACGTCCGACTCACTAAGGACGGCTGTGATGTGAAGACAGGAGCGAATGAGGTGACCATTCAGTTCCGCAAAACAAAGGCTGATCAGGAGGCCTTCGGGTCGTGCAAAACTATGGGGGCCACAGGTGAACTTCATCTATGTCCAGTGCACGCGCTCGAAGAGCTCCGAGAAGTGGCTCAAAGACGGTTCTCTCCGGGACCTGAAGCTCACCTACCTCTGTTCCGGTGGGGCAATGGGGCGACCCTTCGTCGAACAGAAGTACAAGCAGTACTCCAGAAAGCAGCAAGAGCGGAAGGGCTGCCTGAAGATCGCTTCATGAGCCACAGCCTTCGAATCGGAGGAGCAAGTGCCCTGTTCCAGGCCTTAGGAGAGATCGAGTTGGTCAAGAGAATGGGAAGGTGGAGCAGCTCCGCGGTGCAAAGGTACCTCTATGATGGGGGCGAAGTGCTGAAGGAGTTGTCAGGCCGGATGGCCAGGGTCGACAAGAGGATCCACTATACGTAGTGGACTTTTTTGGTCCTGCGCTGGCTTTGTGGGGGGTTGTGGCTGATGCCATGATCGAAGAGACCCGCAATGCCGCCAAAAAAGAGCAGTGGCGCATGGACACGTAGCGGGTTCCAAAGTAGGAGCTTCGTGAAGCGTTGCTTTTGAAGCAGTTGTGGCCACGCCGGCCTTTGGAGGTTCAAGAGGACCTGAGCGGTCCTGGGTTTTTCCGGGACCCACCCTCAGCCTCCCTGGGTTGTGGCTGATGCCATGATCGAAGAGACCCGCAATGCCGCCAAAAAAGAGCAGTGGCGCATGGACACGTAGCGGGTTCCAAAGGTTCTTTTTCCGGAACTGGGTTTTCATCCCCCGAAACTGGGGGGGATGCCGTCGACTGATCCTCGACTTCCTGGGAGCCAAGAAGAAGACAACACCCAGATCAGTGATCCGACCCAAAACCTCCACTGAAATGTCTTCACCGGGACGGGCGAACGCCAGCACCATCGGGACTGATGGCCTGGATTCCCCAGTGAGCACATGTGACGACCCCAACACCATGAACCCTTGCAAGGCCCATCAGATGAGCGCCGCAGCATGCAGAACGTCTTCGGGTTTTCGACCCATTTCTGTCCTTTTAGCATCCTCTCGTCCTTCCCAACTGCGGGGGCTTTACAGACACGTTCCAAGAAGTTCCGGCGTTCTCAGGTAGAACATCGGACTTTCAAAAAGTCCGTCCTGACCTTCCAATGCCAAGCACGAAAACCCATCAGCCTTGAAGGTCCTTGGTAGGACATTCCACCACCACCCAGAGAGGGGACACTCCATGTTACTTCGCCCCTCGAAGTACGGTCTTTTGGGGGCGACCGTACCGTTCGACTCAACGACCCTGAGAGAAACCCCAGACTCCCTTTGCTGCACCCCCCTTCCCCGGAACCAGCGGTGAACACCTCCCTCTTCGCACCTCTCCTCTCCTCCCCGATGGGCCCTCCGGGCCGATGTTCCAGGCAATGTGGCGGCGTGGGCGACGGTTCCTGGTGGAAAGATGTGGTGATGGGCAGCGGCCGTTGCGACCTGTGCCACGGAGAGCGCGTGCTCCAGCCCCCGCCAGGCGGTGGATGGGGTGAGGTGTGAGGTTAGGTGACAGAGTACTGACAGGCCATTTCTCCGTTTTCGGGGGGAACTGCCAATCCATTTTCTTCAGCTTCTTTTCGACACTTCCACTTCCCCAAACTCCTCCCAGCTCAGCTCCCCTAGCTCCTTCAGCTCCTTCACCCGGTGCCAACGCGTGGAACGCGTGGAACGCGGCGCCAGGCGGCTTCAAGACGCCCGTGCAGCCGGAGACCGGCACCACGGACGGTCCGCGTAGGGAGTCGAAGACCGTCGGGGCGCCCGGAGGGGGGGGACTGGTGCAAGGCGGGTGGAGCGAGCTCGAAGCCAGGACAAGTGAAGAACCTGCAAAAGAGCATGGTTTTTTGGTGATTGGGGGTTGAAACCCCCACTATAATCACTATAAACAGATGAACTAGGGTGGAAAAATGAAGCCCTGAAGTGTCCAGGGAAACTGAGGGAGGTCAGAAGTGCTTCAAAGCATGCGTGGCGTGGCGTGATGCAAGTGATATACACCATGTGGCCTGGGTGCCTGAAGCCCTGATGGTCAGATGGTACGGTCATGCCAATTGCATCCGTTCACTCCGTTGGTTCTTGATCTTTGTGGGCGAGATATATGTTCGTCATCGACACTCCCTTCTACCAGGTAGCCCAAGCGGATCCTCCCTTCTAGCAAGATCAGTTGGCGCATCCTCCACCAAATTGAGCCACATTCGTACGAGAGCATGGGAATTTTCAAGAATCTTCAATTTCTGGACCCTCACGTTCGACCTATTCCCGCCAGAACTTGGCTCTCTGAAACGTCCTGAGGGACCGACCTTACGTCTCATCCTTCGTGTCCCCAGTCGTCCGTGGATCACCGGCCCCCACGGCACCGGCCCGCGGGACGCGGCCGCTCGCCCCGTCCGTCGCTCCGCTCGTCTTAGGAGCAGTTCTTCCCTGCGGAACCTCTCAGCATACCTTGAGCCGCGTGAAGGTCCGGGCGGGACGACCGGGGTTGGGGCTTGATGAGGCATCCGGGCTGGTCGTTCTCCCGAAACATCGCATCAAAAGAGGCCATGGATGTGATGTGGTCAAGATTTCTCTGGTTTGGGTCTGGAAGATGAAGAGGACACCCATACCAGGGCCCCCGGGCCATGGGGTGCTTCATGGAGTGTCCCGAATCACATCTAAGGGGCGCCCTCAAGAACGATGGCCCCTGGTCCAGGGTGTCCTGGGTGTCCGGCCATTTCTGGTTGTTTTCGGGCAGAACCGTTTCAGGCCGCACTTCGAGACCCAGCAGCAGACGTGGTGACAGGGGGGACAGCAGCAGAGTCTGCTGGAGCCTCTGTTTCAGAGGGCTTTTCAATGGTTTTGAAACGAACTCATGCGTGAGACCCAGTGACGAACTGAATCTCTTTCTATGTTCCTGGTGTTTTGGGTGAAAAAAAGGGGTGCGTAGTCATGATGATTCAATCTTTTCCTGTACATGACATGGAACACATCACACAAACAGCAGGATCACCACAGGACTGCGAGTTGTTTGCCTCATCAACACTAGCGTCACTAGCTTCCGGAGGGTAAATTTTTAGAGTCTGGGGTGACCTCTCCAAGACTCACAGCTCTTCGTTGGATCGCGAATGCGACTCCCAACGCCGCTTTTTGGCTTGTGGACCTCCGGTGAAGCGGATGTCCAAGCCATCCGGACTCAGAGCTTGTAGTGAACTCCTTAGGACCTGTACTCCGTTTCGCTTGGGGTTTCGGTGGGTCCGTCTGCTGGTTCCTGTGGCTGTGGAAACGGGTCGAGGCCCGACTTCACGGGCTCCGAAGTGCGGTCGAGCCAACTTCCGGGAATGGAGACCTCAAACTATAACAGGGATCCAGTGGTTTTAGCTCTTCTTCATGAAGCGTTCAAAGTTTGTCGGTAGGGGGCAGAGACGCGACGTGAAGCATGGGGGACTGGCGCCAGAGACCTCCAACATACTGGTAGCACTGAGACTTGGCCATGGCCCAATTCCTCAGCCCCTGGTGAATGAACAGCCACAAAGAGGCTAGCGGCTAGCGCTTTTGTGTGACAAAAAGAGGGGAGAATTTACGTTTTCAGTAGGAGGTTCAGGGATCCAGCGTCAATTCTGGGCAGTTGGTACCCAAAGGCCACTTATATATACTGCTGGCTTTCTTCAAACCGATACAGACTGATAGAGCAAACGAATTGCTGGACTTTAGTGGGTGTATGGGCGGATGATTGCATCCTTGTTGTTCCTGGCACCACACACATGCTCTGAGTCGCCCATCCAACATGGGGATTAACTGCTCTATGGCACCCTGTAGTGCCATGTGCTCGTCCTCTTGTTGCCCTGATGCCGGGTCAGATCAGAGGATTGCAGCCAAGCATAACCACCATTTTCGCACGGTCGACCCCGTTTGGTCGAAGATGGCTGGTTTAGAGCCAAACAAAAAGCATCCAAGTCTGGATTTTTTTTGATAAGTTCTACAACCACAAGTCACTTGTGTGGTCTGCAACTTCGTGACCCCACTGATGGGGGGGGCCGGAATTTGGAGTGGAATTCGGTCGGGACCGTCGGAAGTGTGTTTCAAGTCTGAGGACGCTCAATCACTTGTACTGAGCCGTGCAGTCACTGTCAATCACCACGACGGCTCAGGAGACACCCAGACTCTTACTTATATAGTGCATGCAGGATCATTTGTGTTTGACTCTTCTCCCAAACCTAGGCAAGTCGCAGAGCTTTTGGGATGATGAAGAACCGTTAAGGGTGAGTACCACGTTCTTTTTTCAGCGACCCCACTCCTGCCACGGGGTCATGGTACTAGAGGCCTCGAGAGAGGCCTTCACTAAGAATCTAAAAATGTATTGGACATCGTGCCACTATCCATTTGGGGACCACTTCTTTTTTCTCAAAGGAATATCGATGGTTTAAGTCCAAACCGTCCAAACCCACGGTTGGTTGCAGAATGGAAAGAGCTTCAGGTTGCCATCTCCCCTAAACCGACCAGAGGAGACCGGAGACTCATTTGGGTCCGACTCAAAGGTGAGACCTGGCGAAAGCAGGGTCAAATCTTTAGTCACATGATTGGGCGTTTGGCCTTCCGAATCAACGCATGGTGGGTCCAGAATCCAAACCTGAGACTCCATTTAGTTTGGTTAGGGGGGTCCTGTAGGTTGGGTGCCGTTTTTCGTTCGTCAGCCTTCCCAGTGTCACATCACCCACCTGCGCTTCTGCTCCTGGCCATTGGGGAGGAGTTTCGAGGACAGGAACGTTTGGACTCCGTCTGGACAGTTCGGTTTGACCTCCGAGCACATCACATGGAAGTGGACAACCGGTAGTCTTTCAAAGGACCATGCCATCCACGTAACCATTTGACGTGGATGTTCATCGGAGTGGAAGCTTTCTTGACACAGGGAAACGGCTGGGGAGTCAGTTGATCCCTAAGATGCTTCCTCAGAGTGTGACGTCCCAAGAACATTTCGCTTCAGACGCCCAACGAAGTGGTTGCGGATTGGCCAAAACGTGGAGGTTGGAGATGTGGAGGTCGGAGGTTGTGAGGAGAGGGCAAGGCTGACTTTGTGAATGCTTCTCCTCATGTTACTTGCTAGTCGAGTTGTCCTGGTATTTGTTTGTATCTGTAATGTATATGTAGTTGTGTTTGCATAAATTTCACGCAAGCCAGTTGGTAGGCTAGGCTCAAGTTAGTTTCTGCGAGCAAAGCAATATTTTTTCCCCAAACAGTGTGGTCACACTAGGGGTTCTTACGGTAGGTGTTAAGCACCGGTGCCTAATCGAGGTGTTGCGCGGTCGGGTCAGGCTATCTCGTTGCTATTTACAGTACATTCATGCCTCTCAAAATCCTCGAAGTGCATTTCGACTGCGCAGGCTCGCAAAGTCTGCTTGGCCGCAGCGGGTGGTTGCCACTCTCACTCTTCTCACTCACTCACTCTGACTCTCACTCTCTCACTCTCTCACTCACTCACTCTCTCACTCACTCACTCTCTCACTCTCTCACTCTCTCACTCACTCACTCTCTCACTCTCTCACTCTGACTCTCACTCTCTCACTCTCTCACTCTCTCACTCTGACTCTCACTCTCTCACTCACTCACTCACTCACTCACTCACTCTCTCACTCACTCACTCACTCACTCTCTCTCTCACTCACTCTCTCACTCTCTCACTCTCTCACTCACTCTCACTCTCCCACTCACTCACACTCTCTCTCTCTCTATCTCTCTCTCTCTCTCGCTCACTCACAGACACTGTCACACACACACACACTCACTCACCACCACCGCACCTTCATCACCACCATCACCTCTCTGGACCGATGCGTCTAGATCTCTAGACTCTAGACTTTCTGCTACTACGCCTCTATAGACCTCACACACACACACACCGTTTGGGGTCGCTTGCCGGGATATTTCTTGGGGGCCAGATGTGACTAAATCATAGTAGCCCGCTGGCGTTTTTACATTTTGGTGGATGTATTTTTTGTTGAGTTCGTGATGCAAAAGATGCATGTTCCGGCATGTTCTGGCATCACTTGCATCATTTACAGTCAGGGTCATCAGAAACTGGTTTCTGGGAAAACCATTGTTCTGGAACATCGTTCCTAAACCCCTTCAGGTGTTGCACAGTCACGGCCCATGGACTGTGAGTGACGACCAAGGGGCTTCTATGGGGCTTTTGGACGCTGAGCCTGACTCGGGTCAAAAAACACTAGCAGTATCCAGCAGTATGAAAATGAACAACAATGGGGGTTGGTCTATGGGGGTTGGTTTGGGCTCTAAGTATGACCCTGGGTGATCAAAAGGGGTTTCCAAAAAACACCAGCGGTGCCTTCAAGTTGACGATCCAGGGGGTCTCGAAGTCTGGTTGCAGACACCTCCGCGGTTGAGATGGTTCGGATGGTAGCAGTCTCTTTACATGGCGCGTGGTTAGAATGGACAATCATGGGACTAGTAGTGAGTGGTGTTGTATGTTGTTGTGTTTTTGGCACCTTCTGTGTTTAAGGCATCTCCTCGGCCACTCCGGGCCGGGACGGGAGCCGAACCACACAGACCAGACCCAGCGCCATGGGTTCACTATCCCAACACAACCAGATTCGCTAGATTCACCGGAGAGTCTTTCCCTTGCTAGACCAGAATGTTGCCCATGTCTTGGCTCCAGCTTTTCCAAGAACATCGGTGCTGACATCTCAGTGCAGTACAATGGTGCGCGTGATCCCAGCGATTCTTCTTTGCGCGATGGTCATGCTGACACTCCACTTGAGCTTCTTGAGTGTGCAGAAGGGTGCGGCGTTCTCCTCAGATCCAGAAACTGGGTTGCTAAGGTCACTGGCAGACAGTGACCAGCAGACAACGCCAGCAGACAGCTACGAAGATGATGACTGGAACGAATGGACCATTTCCACAAACAGGCGTAGAGGCAAGGGAATTGTCAGGCGCAGAAGGCGATGACTGCTTGGAGATGTCAAGTGGGTGGATGAGTTGACATGTTGTTCTTTTTTTGTATCCAGAGTGGCCAAGAATGGCCCGCTTGTAGAGTGCACAAGGGCTAGCGGAAACGATCCTAGCTGCTCATGATGCACCAAGAAGAATTGACGAGCGCCAGGTTGCCACGAAAAAGACAGCAGGTCAAAGTTCCTTGGTGAACAGAAGCCTTGTAGGGCAATCCCTTCATACTCATGTTCCTGTAGCATGACCCACTCTGAATGCTGGGTTTTGCTTTGTCCAGGAAACTGGAAAACATATATTCCCCATGCCAGGGGACTTGCTCAGTTCGAGGAAACACCATGCACCCACACGCTTGGCGTGTGGTGGATCGGGGTAGACCCACTCATCCCCTGCCAGCACACGTTTTAAACCAGATTTCCATTTCCCGAGCCTTCAGTTCAACCATTCAGAGAGTTCGGTTGACCTGGCTTTGTGGGTCTCAAACCTTTGTAAACCAGATGGTTGTTTTGGGACTCAGGCCATTAAAACAAGTCGTAACTTGGAATCCCAGAGATTTCAGCCCTCAAGCTGCCCCTTTGAAGCTTGGTAAGAGGCAGTGGATATGTTGGAGCTGAGTTTGGGTTTGGAATCGAAGTGAATGGCGAATGATCTTGTCGACCACAGGAGATTGTCCATGTTACACCTTGCCACGGTCCGCCTT